CTGTGCATATTTTGAGATTCCAGAATTAAACGAAAATAAACAGAAGTTCACAGAATCTGAGAGCCATGGGGCATGTTTCATGGGGAGCTTGGCCACGGGTAACTGACAGCCCCCTTTAGCTGGAGCCTCTTGAACACTGATTCTGGCATGTGTGGGAGCTCCCTACGGGGCCTGCAGTGAAGACACACTGTGTGGCAACAGAATTGAAGTTCCTCTTTACTCCATGGGATCTCAATGCAGAAAGACTGAGCAGGGAGGCAGTGCAAGACTTCGTTTTCAGCAGCAGGAAGTCAACTTTTTCAAATCCATTCTCAGCTTGGGGACAACTTTAGGTTTGGTTTTCTTTAGACTAACGAGACATGTAGCCAGTATCCTTTATTTCATGGGCAAAGAAGCAAGCAATGAAAAGTTTAAACCCATCATTCTTTAGAGAATACCCCAAAATTGGTATAGTCTCTGTATGCACAGCAATACTGTGGTTTCAGCCTGCTCTATGTTTCATTTGTACATTATTTCTCCAATACAATAAAACCATGATGTCACTAAAAGCAGAAGATAGCAGCCATAAATTCAAATCTACTTTGCAAAAGAAGAGTATATTTGCCATAAAGAAAAATGCAAAATAAAATTTATTTAAAGACAAGCTGCACAAATTATCATCAGTAGCTTCGCCCCATTTCATGTTCGTTGGCATCAGCTCCTGGAGTCCACTGCACTTTAATTAAGATTTTTTTCTCTGTTCAATAAAGGATTAAAATGTCAGTCCTCTGTTTATAGGGACCCATGCATTTGAATGCAATAGGACTTCAGAGCCCAGGCTTGAGCTGTCCGTGGCCACTGCACTTCTTCAAAGGGCAGACTCTGTTAGCATTTGTCTCTGGGTGCTGATCCATCCTTGGCACTACTCTTTCCTGAGGATTCCTCTACACATTTTCCTCCTCAACTTTGTAATACATTCATCAGCAAAGACCTGTTATAGCAACCTTTTAAGTACCATACTCACCGATGCCAATATCTAACACTGCTTCAAAGACTCGTTACCCTGCAAACTCTCATGATGGTTGTGTCTGTGAGCCAAGTATTTTAATAAAGGCTGATTTAAATGCATGTTCTTTGTTGCATCTGTATAACGCTAACAAGCTGGGATGATTCCAAGCTTGCATTTTCTCTTTGAAAAAAAAAAAAAGCTACCTCCCCTCTCTTTCCACACACACACACACACACACACACACACACACACACACACACACACACACACACACACATTCTGTATCTATATTCTCCCACTAGAGGAAGACTGACAATTCCCACATTCACGAGGCTAAAATAACTCAAACGCATAAAAATACATCAGCCAAAATTAAGTTGGAAACTATGAAAAAGAATAAGACAGGTTCGGAAGAATCGGGAATTATAAATCCTTGCTGTTTAAGGCCTAAAAGGACCAAGCATGACTTTTGTGAATGAGGCTTGTGAAAGGTAAGAACTTGGCAGTCTCGGGGTTCTCTCACGGGAGCCACAGGATGCTAAAGGTTCAAAGATGGCACTGAACCTGGACAGAATTCAGAAGAGATGCAGTGACAGATCTGTGAAAGGCTCCTCGAGAGAGTGTGAGGAGTTCAAGGGGTTCAAGAGGAACACTAGCTTTAGAACTATTCAGAATAATGAAGAATATACAGAAATGAACCAATATCCTTATCACTAAGGAATCCCCCGTTTGAGTTCAGGAAGGCAGGCCAACAGGGACACACTTTACATCACTTCATCTGCCACTGAACTTCAGGGGGCTGCTGAGAGGGTGGACCACTCTGCCCCCAGGTGACTGCAGAGATGCTCTTGCACAAGAGACCTGGGCTAGGCCTCAACCTGAGCGTGAGCACTTGGGTTGGTACAAACACATCTGGCTTCCTCTAGCCACTGGGTCACCTAAATCCTGGGGAAGGGGTGACCTTGGCCATTAGCACGACAAGCCCGAGATTCTCTCCTATTGTTCTAAGCTCCTTCTACACTCCAGGATTCCAAGTTTCATTTGGATGGTGTAATTTTAATTTTTTTAAAGGAATCTGTGATGTAAGAAAGATGCTTAATACATCACATTGAGGGGGGAAAAAAAAGTAAAACAAGGAGAATTCCACACTGGACTCTGCTCACTTGGGAATGCAGCCAAGCAGAGAGGACAGGGCGACAGGGCAGCAGGGCAGCAGGGTGGACATCTCAGGCCAGAGCCGCTGCTTCCTGACTTTGCCCCATGAGGAGGCTTAGCTGCCACGGACAGCTGGTTGGCTTGTTTTGGCTTCTCAGGTCTGACAATTCCATTGGCCGCCGAATGACATTTACTTTCAGGTGAAACTCTGGCCCTACTTTGTCCACTCTTACAATGAGGACTTTGTTTTTTGCTAAACTCCCCTGCCTGCGAGCCTGGGAGTGCTGGACAGTGGCCCCCGAGACAGACTACAGTGGCACACACACACTGACATGTGCTAAGTGGCTAAATTGGTATTCTTTTACCAGTTCACCGTATAGTTTCACTTGAATGTACCTCTAAAATATAAACCTGGTTGAGGCTTGCATTTCTTTCCTAATTCATTCTCTTAATTTTACCTACAACCTTGTCAATATTTTGTTTCTTCTCATGCTTCAGGTGTAAAGCACTATTCTTTGTTTCAAAGCTGTTACTGGATTAGCCAGCAGATGGGATGGTATCCAGCTGTGGCTATGTAGCAAGTGAAGCACAGATTCCTAATTGCTCTTCCACATAAATCAGACAACCTTTCCATGCACCTCCTGTTGACATTAGCTTGCTCCACCTAACACGTGATGCCATCTGCCAATGCTGTGATGCAGACAGAAAGCCCTCCCTGGATGCTAGCACCATCCCTTGGGTTTCAGAACCATGAAGGGAAAAAGCCTCCACTCTCCACATTCATTCACAGCAACAGGAAACAGTGAGACCCACGACTTGTAAAGAGTCACCTACTGGCACTCCTTCCTTCTCCTGTCCAGCCTCTGCTGTTCGTTCAAGGATCCTTTAAGAACAGCACTCAGCTCATGTCACCACCTAACACACAATGGTAATTGATCCATAACATTTGAACATATGAAGGCCTCTTCTAGAGAAGTCCCAGAACAAAATTTCCTAAAATCTTGAGAGTATGCTGCCAACCCTAAAACAAAAGCTTCTTGTTCTCACTTCACAGCATGTGGGTTTGAAAAAAATATATATTTACTCTGATTCTAAGGAATATACTTCCTGAAGAAATACTGTGTTCTAGGCATCCAGCACTGAAGAATCCCAACATTCAAGATGCAAGTATTCAACTACATTGTAAGACTTTTTAAAATGAAAGTTTTTATTCTTCAGTGTCTTTTTTCTCTTTCTTTTTCAGAAAGGCCAGTGGCTTGTCTCTTTGCAAACAGGAAATGCTTCTCCTAACAGCTCTCACAGTTGTCCTGTCAAGTCTGTTCTTGAGCTACAAAAGGTCCAGGGGTGTCCTTGTCTGCCCATTTGGACCCTTCAGCTCAAGGGACTGGGGAGCACCACAGGCTTGTGGCTCTCTTGGTCTTTTTAGAGAAATATAAAATTCAGATGACATAAGCAGCCTGACTTACTGTTTTGATCATAGTTGTGACTGTAAAAATTAGGCTATATAATCTGTTTACTTGGATATGGACTGTGGTCGAAAAAGATGTTGGAGATTTTGGAAAACAAAGCTAAGCAGGTTCTGTCTGAACTGACCTCATCCAGTCTACTGATTGAGAACAACACTTTCTACAGAAACATTTGAGCCCCTGGGCATTCGATACAGCAGAGCCGCTGGTGAACACCACGTGCTGCTGCATGACCGAACACTGATGCATAGTAACTGCTTATCGATACCAATACTGAATACAACACCAGTTTTGATGAATACCTTTGCAATTCAGGCTGTATTAAAAATACAAATTTTCACACATCCGGAGATTTTCTTTTAGTATCAGTGAGAAAATCATTTTGACAGATGTACATCAGGGCCTAAAACCATGCTTGGCACAAAGCTGGTGCTCAATCAATGAACTACCATGCTAGCTTTCAAAAAGGAATCCAATGACTTCACATCCATGTGTGCACAAACAGAAGTGCAGTGCCAACATTTAAAGGATATTTTTTGGTCCCAGAATACATTTTGAAGTAATTTTCTAGCATGGACTAATTCAATGTAATTTCGCAAACACTAATTAGGGATCCACCATGGTGAGTAGGTATGATGATGAACTCTCACAGAGAGGAGGAACACGGTGCCCATGGAAGCCATGCTAATTACTGCCTTGCCAGACCAGGTTCCTGGCGATGAACACACAAGGACAGACTCAAAGCTGCTTGCTAATACCCTGCCACCACCTGAAGTAAGCATGTCAAACGCAGGATCTGCTCCAACACAAATCTACCTGGCCTGCTTCCAACCTGCTGCACCCCCTGGCTTCGCTGCTATACATCCTGCAGTCTTTGCTCATTGATTCCTCTGTAACTTTGCATTGTGGTTGGTATAATTTCCTGATGGGTGTTTTTATGCATCACCCCAACAACCACCCTAGGGTGGCTGCAGAGAATGACACCCAGCAGCTCTTCCCTCATCTGATATTAGCCCAACTGCAACCACCTTCCCCAGCAGTCCCTGCCATTGTGGACAGTGGGTACTACAGAACATCACGGGAGCAAGAGGCTCATATTGAATCTCTTGCCACAAACATAAGCTTTTACCAATCTCTGTATTTCCCAATTCCATGCTGATTGTGGAGTGTTGGTTCTGGGCCAGGAGGCCTGCTGGCAGCTTGAGGAAGACACTATCTCTTGTTTGCTGTCTATAGTTCCCAGGGCAAGGGTCCAGGCTTGGTTATGGGCAAACAGCCACTCTGGTTTCCTTCTGAGGGCCATGACTGAATGAACTTTACATGAGATATGGCAAGAACAGCATCATAGTAATTAAGCCTGAGACATGGTGGACATCAGACTCACAGCTTACCTGCTGACGCTTCTCAAATTCCAGTTTGATCCGGGATTTGATGCAGTTGCAGGTGTCCTGGTAAGTCTGCTGTAGAGCAAGCTCCATGAGATGCTTGTGGTACGCTCCTGCCAAGTTCCCACAGATGAAGATAATCACATTGGCCAGAATCTAAGGACACAAGAAGAGGAACTCGATTCAGGAATGCAACCGGACCAAATGCACACAAGCAACAATCAAGTGTAACTGCAGGAAGTTCATTTTACTTCTGCCTCCAAATCAATATTCTCATTTGCTTAATAGAATCAATCTCCATGAGGGAGGCTGTCCCCTCCATAAACGCATACTCATTGGCTGGGGACACTGCAGGCTCTCCCTCAACTTGGAGCCCAGACATGCGTATTGGGGGATTGCTTTACTTTGGCTAATGTGATCTGGATAGGAACAAACAGGAACCACAATCAAACCTCTCTCAGAGGCTTCACGCATTTCAGGACATTCAGAGGCTGGCCCAGGACAAGAAATGCACAGAGCAGAGCTGCCTTAGCCAGCCTGCATTCTGCTGACACTTGACCAGGACATCTTGTGGCTGTCACATAGCATCACTGCGATCCTCCCCGAAGCTGTGCTCACGGAGCCTGGATCAATGACATTCTGTGAATCAGGAAATTAGTGGCCTGTCAAAGCACCGGCCTCATGATCAGGCATGGAAAAAGCAGTTCTCGATGACAACAATTTGGGAGAAAAGCAGAGGAACATGAGAAAAAACTACAATGTAGGATTGTCCTGTCCAAGAAATAGACTGCTGTCCATGTGGCCCTGTCTTCCCTCCCACGTCCCCTGTACTCCCACGTTGGGAAATACAGATGGCTTCATCAAGATCCCAATCTTCTCCTGAAAGGAAATGTAGTTTTGTGCTTCGCTTTCTAATTTAGCAGTCATTTTTTTTTTCAGATTGTACACATTCTGTAGAAATAGGGTTGTGAATACTGGGATAATATTTGATTCTGTGACTCTACCATCACTTGGTTATGTCTGTATTCTTCAATGGAGACTGGATTAAGACTCCATGCATTTGCATGGTGTCTCAGAAGTCAAGTTCATGTATGAATGTGTATAAAGTTTTGGCTTCATATTGCTTATTTCTTTAGGCTCAGTTACTGAAACTATGCTGAACCAAAACCCAGGCGAGTTTTTTTTTTTTTTTAAAGATTTGTTTATTTACTTTTATTGAAAAGTCAGACATCCAAAAAGGAGAAGAGACACAGAGGAAGATCTTCCATCTGCTGATTCACCCCCCAAGTGGCCCTCTACCAGGCCTGTTTTAAGTTCTTGGTGCGTACAGAAAAAGCATTTTCAGGAAACGGTTTTTATGTTATTTCCACAGGAATAACAATGGTATTCCAGCATGCACTCTGATCACATAGGCAACACATCACACAGCACAAGCTCTCCGTGTTCAGGGCTGAAGCTCCGGGTTGCTCAATGCACGGCCAGACATACGGGGAGAAGATGCTTCCTCCACCCCCATCCCTATTCCTATGACAGGTTACCAGCAACTTGCATCACAAGGAAGGATGTCATTTAGACCAGCTGCCACACCAGGCATGCTGCAAGGCAAACAGGTGACTCTGACCTGAGTCACCAGAGGCATCTTCTTTCTGAGCCTTCAGGGTTGACCATGAGGAGGCTGGACAGCAAATCCTGGTTGTCCTCTCCCCCTACTCTCCAATGAGGACTGTAGAAACCCATTTTCCACCTGCTCTATGCCTTTGTCCATATCTCAACAGGTTATTAACTCAGAAGGAAAACTGGGATATTTAAAAGCCCTGAGAAACACATTTGAGGGATGGAGAGACAGCTGGACATAATGAGGAAAGGGAAGAAGGATGGAATAAAGGTTTCTCTCTGCATAAATGCAGACTGCCAAGGTAGAGATGAGAAATGTGCAGACCCTCAAGAGTCCCCTGTACTCTTCCAGGTAACCGATTCATTTCACAGATATTGGGAACCTAAGAACTTGTAAGGCTCACCCACATCCTCACAGTTCACTTTAGAAAAGCTCTCTATGTGTTCCTGTTTTATCTTCTCCCTATTAATATGAATGATTAAAATACTAAATGTGGCTGTGGCTCTATGTGCATGTGTGATGTATGCATGATACAGTCATTGGTGTGTAGGCACGTATGTGTGTGTGTGATGACTGTGAAGTGTGCCTGGGTCAGGTGGTTAGAGTCTATGTTCGTGTGTGTGTGTTGTGCATGCCCGTGTGTGAGCGACGGAGCCTGGGGCTTGGCAGTGATAGCATGGTCTTCTCTGTGAAGTGTGCCTGAGACAGGTGGTGTGGGTGTGTGCGTGCCCGTGTGTGAGCGAGGGAGCCTGGGGCTCGGCAGTGATAGCATGGTCTTCTCTGCAACTTCCTGGCATTTTCCAGCTTCAGAGCCTCTCTGCCTTCTCACCATCCCACTTTGACACATCATCTCTGTGCGTGCCATGCCGAGAGCACCTGGGCAGTCATCAGGTCCTTCCTGGCTTGTGCCCAACAGCACCATCTTCTAGCTGCACAGGAGTTAATTGCAGTGCCATGTCTGCAGGGCACTGTTAATTAAGTCTTGTCATACTTGGCTTCTGCAAAATGACTACCTGTTTTAGTAAAGATCCCCCAGACCTTGTCATGGCCAGATTTATCCTAAAGGACAGTGCATCGAAGAATGCAGGAGACGAGAAAAGCCATCATAAATCAAGAGGCACAGAATTTAGAAATCCTAACTCCTTCCTTATGAATGTACCTGAAATAGTAAATAGAATACACATGAATTCTTTTATCTTCCCATTCTTCAAAAGTATCCAAGGCAACATTTCAACATTTAGGAAGAAATTCTCCTGGAGGCAGCAAGGGTAGTAACAGAACTGAGAAGATGTCCTGTCATGGCCTGCGCTAACAGGTGCAAGAAACGGATTCTTGGCTAACACTGAAAGCCCAACCAAAGATCCTGTGCCCTGAGTGGCAGGTACTATCTTCCTGGGATCCACTCACCACCTATTTCCTCTGCATTCCTCGGCATTGACTTGGGAGGCCAGTGCTCTTGTGTGATTTATGGGATGTCCCACAATCCCGGATGGGGAGTAAAAAATGTCAGTCACCCTGCACAGGTCTGCCTGAGCTCTGTTTTGGGGATCAGGGTGCAACTGGAGAACTGCTGTGTTGAATTATCAGCTCCATTGGAGAGCCTGACGCGACACACCCTGGGTCTCCTGTATTCCAGTTCTTCTCTTTACCAACTAGCATTATTCTTCTATGCTCCAGCAGCCTATATTGGGAGCTGCCACCTCTGGGTGAGAATCCTCATACATAATGCAATCAGGTACTCTGCTGGTTCCGTGGTCCTCAAGCACCCCACTCAGTGGCTAATTATGCAAATGTTTATTGTCTCTCAGAAAATCCCACTACCCTCCCCCGCCCTCCGACCCCACCAACATTGTCTATAGAAGTTTGCTGAAAAAAGGCAGTGCTTGGTGTGCACCTGTTATCTGCCAACATTCTCAGGCTGCAGATCTTGGTAAAGGCAAGTGACAGGTGCTGGTCCCTGATATAAAATGACGCCCATTTACAAATAACTAGCCTCTTCCCTTTTTCTTCACACCATCTCTAGATGACTTACAATACCTAAGATAATGTAAAGTCCACCTAATATACAGTTCTGTCTAGGGAATGTTGGTGAGAAGAAAAAAAAACCAGGCCGCATACATTTATTGAGACCCAGTTGGTCGGGGGTGGGGGAGGTTGGGAAAACAAACCTCGAGTCTCCAAATAGGGAAGGAAAATTTGCATTGTCCCAGAAATTAAGGAAGAATCTCCTTTGAGTTATTCACTCCGCACACTGCATTGCTTCACAGGACATGAAACCCTTCCTGGCTAAGGAGAATTACAAAGATGCATTTGTCAATTTTAATTTGCATATTCAGAGAAAATGTTTAACAAACAACCAACAGCCTTAACGCAAATAAAATACAAGATTTGCTTTCTTTTAGAAAGCTTATCAAAATTAAATGAATTTTTTCTTCTAAGGATAATCGGGTGACTGATTTGCCATGCAAAGTGACAGGAAGGAGAGAGTGTTAAAGGGAAGGAGGGAGAGGGAGAGAGAAACAGGATTCCTTCCCTAATGGCCGTAACTGCTGGTGCTGAACCAGGTCAAAGGCATGGGTAACAGGGGCTCAAGTAATTGAACCACCCTCCCATGCTTTCCCAGGAGCATTAGCAGGGAGCGGGTCTGCAAGTGGAGCAGCAGTCGGGTCTCAGGGGATGGCAGCATCTTAAGCAGTGGCCCAAGCTGCTGTTCGCAACGCCAACCCCACAGTCATCTCTCAGTCATCTGGCTCCATCTTCCAATTTTGTACAATGACCCCAGTATTTCAATAATAGCCTTCATGTACAAATAGAATCAAATATGAAAGCATTTTTCTTGCAAAATAGCACATTCCTATAATGATTTTCTATGGCAGCAAGGAAGGGTTTGGATATTTTTCTCAAAAACAGGATCAAAGGGTTTTCTTTCTATAAGATAGTGATGCAGAGCACAGGACAACTTCCTATCTTCACAAAGTTGGATTTGTTTTGTAATATCACACAGTTTTGATGTCTTACTGTGTTGCTTCATCTAGCTACTCTCACATCTGTCAGAAAACAGGAAAAGTGGTCTCCTATGGGATGTCTCGGAAGAAAACAAATTGTTTAAGGTAATAACACCACTCAGGATTTACCCTGAAGATTAAAGCCAGACCTTGAAATTGTGCATGGTGTATGATCTCAAATCCGTGCAAATTGAAGCGTGCTAAGACATCACCACAGATGTCTGACTGTACCCAGCATTCTTGCTTGATGCACACATGGGGAGACCTGTCACTGTCAGTAGGTCTCAGCAACTCCCAGGAGGTGCCTGTTACCAAGCCATGTGCTGGCGGGAAGGCTGGGCTGCACCAGCAAAGGATGCTATGTGTCTCTCACAGCGGTCACATCATTCTTTCAAACACACCTTTTACTTTTTCACATCTGTGAGAGCCCAGGAGGCAACAGGAATGTGGACGTGTTTGATTATTTCATCTTATAACCAAGGAAACAGAGTCTAAAAATTAGATGCCATGAATGTAAATGGTTAGTGGACCTGAAT